AATGTTAATTACATTTGCACTGTCATGTATACTTTCATTTGCTTTGACACTGGCAGCATATATGTTACACGGCTCTGATTTCACGCGGTGTTTATATCTGATATTAGCTTGCAGTGGTGTGTAACCTGTGATAACCCTCCTGACCGGAGGTGGCTTTCATCTCAGTAACTTTTTTCTAGCTCTGATCCCACCAGAATTATTTCAGGGCTTGATTTTCCTCTCTGATTAACAGAAAAGATTCTTTACACAGGCACAGTTTAGCAGCTGAGGATGCATTTGCGTGGACCACACCAATACGTGACCCTCTGGATGTGCCGCAGAGATGCAGCCTGCCTTCCCCTGGTGCCATCAGTGCTTTGCTTGCTGAAGTGAGCCAGAAAAGGCTGAATAGCACCTCTTGTTTGAGGGCTCAGGGATGGATTGGTAACCACGTGTGACCAAAATAGTTATTTTTCTCTTAATTCCTTCCTCCTACACCACATTTGGTGAAAAAGTTATGATAAAGGGACCCTATTAAAGATGCAAAATCAAGAACATGAAAGTCTGGAAAGGGCACAATGAAGGGGTAACCTAAACTCCACTTTCCTGCACAGCTCTACTGTGAGTTGTGTGTAGACATTCAGCCACTGCAGGATTCACCTGGCCTAGATTTATAAATCAAAAGGTTTGTTGTCTCAGCCTGAATTAGCTGCCTGGGCTTGTTCTGCAGCAAACAGCGAGAGAGAAATATTTTGGGGGAGTGAACTCCTCAGACAGGTTCCCAAGATCGTTTGGGAATGGGAAATGCCTGTTCCTCTCCATGGAAAATAAAGAGAGCCTGAACAATTAGCTTAATCCTAGGCAATTATCAGGCATCTAAAAGCAGAGGAGCTGAATGCACAAGGTTTCTTCTGTAGGAGATGGCCTCGCTACTGGACAGGGTGCTCAGGGAGAGCATTGGGGAGTGACTGCAGCTCTCGCCTGCAGGGTCTGGACCTCCCAGAAAGGCAGCCGGGCAGTGGGAGGAAGGTCTTTACATGTGCAATCCCAGAAGTACTTTGGTGAATTCAGTTTTCAGCGTTGTGGAACGGGAGCACGGCTGGAAGCCTGTTTCTTCCCAACCTGACTCATTTAGCCTGCAACCCACATCCTGCAGAACATGCTTTCTGCTTTTAAGTTCTTGGATCGTTCTTTTCTATGATGTAGGGTACACGTACCTGCTAAAAAGACACAGGGAGGGGAAGCTAGTGTGGGCAGCAGGCCCCACCACTGGCACTACCTTGTTTTCCACCATTCCCCAGCACTGAGACAAGGCTTAGTTGCAGCCCTAGGGCTGGCTTACTGCAGGAGCAGCTCCAGAAAGGCCAAGACCACCCTGGACTTGGCTCCTTCCAAGCCAACGTGCATACTAGAAAATATAAACCCTACCTTTTTGTGGGAAAAACACAAGCACGTAAGCATCACACTCAATAAATGACACTACAAATTCAAACAGTAATGGAGCTGAGATACTTGCAAGGATCTACAAATATGAGCAACAGAGGGGATTTTGGGACACCTCTCTGTGTCCTCATTTCAGCTACTCTAATAACAGAGGAGCGGGATGCAAAACATAACCCTCAGGAGCCAATTCCAAGCCAGGGCTTCCCTTGCTGTCAGCTTTTTGACACAAATAGTATTTTTATCTTTGACATGAGGTTTGTGTTGAGAAATGACTGTACCTGTGTCTCCTGAGGCTCAGGTAATCTGGGCTCTGGGCTCTAAAGCTCTGAGGCTCCATGTTGGGATTTATTTCTGCCTCTTAGCCTTTAAGATAAGACAGTGTGACAGCAGCCAAGCAGAGGACAGGGAACAGGGCAAGATTTTGCCATTCTTGTTTCACACTTCCTTTGCCTGCACCACACAGGAAACCCCAAAATATGTAAAAAAATGAACTTCAAGGAGAAAAAACTGTAATGCTACTCTGCTCCCTTCCAGTATTAAAGACCGAGCACTTGCTACGATTTTGTATGGCATTGTGTGGACATAGATGCACATTTGTTTCTTCTCCAGGAAGAGCAGGGACTCAGCTGGGTAAGGCCCTGAACAACCTCATTGATTTTTTTACAGAAAAAAGCCTGTGCTACCTTTGAGGTGAGCCCTGCTCAGACCTGGAGGTTGAAGCAGAGATCTCCCAACTTCAGTCCGTCTGGGATTTCAGCAGAGGAAGGGGTAGTGCAGGCTTCTCTCTTTCCACCTGGGATAGCCACTGGAGAGGCTATCCCAAGAGTGATCAGAAATACGGGGCTCTGCCTTCACCGCAATGGAGGTCTTTTCACCCAAACCCTAGCAGAAGCAAGGCATGCATGGGTTTTGCCTTGCTCTAGGTGGTTCTCACCACAAAAATGTCGGTCCTCAGATAAACAGAGCCAGAGGCAATCTCCCAGGGCATGGGAAGTCACTGTTAGCTTGGGGTTGACTACAAGTCATCCAATATCTGTGAGAAAAGGCAGCAGCCTCCTCTTCTTGGTTGGATTTGGGGAAATGAAAGCTACACCATGACCCTACGGCAATCCTCCCACCAGGCACTGTTGCAGCAGCAAGACACCCTGCTCTGCTCTGGCTGTAGCCTGAGACCAAGGAGTACTAAAGCACGCTTGCATGGGGGCAGGGGATTGAGCAGCAGTGGCCCAGGGGAGGGTGAAGCAGTAGCCCACCGTGGCGGGCAGGGGACGGTACCTACAGGTGCTTCAGCAGGAGCAGACCCTCCAGTGAACGCCTCTTCACGGCCCGCAGATCGTTGTCCTGGAGGACTCTGGAATGAGACAAATGGACATTTACTCTTACACCAGCTGCTCTCCAGGAGGAAATGAAATTTTTAGGGGAAAATATCCTGCAGTAGCTTTACTAAAAACATCTCTGAGTCACTACAGGGATCATCACCACTCATCACAGGAGCAGGCACTTGCTCCTGGCCTGCTGAAGCTAACTGTAGCCCGATCATTCATTAAATGGGCATAGGGATGGTCCCGTAGGATGGAAGCGACACAGCTCACAGCACTTCTTGCCATCCTAGGAAGCCCTGGGGATTCACACCCCTCCTTGCTGAGCCGCTCAGCTTTGAATTCAGATGGAAATGGTTTGTGTGGGTGCTCGTGCTCATCATACCCTTGGCTCAAAAACCAGATGAAAGGATGGAAAATACCTGAACTCCTGACATTTTAAATGCTCGAGGATACTTACAAGTACTCAGCCCACGGGTATTCCCTCCATGCTTGCTTTTCAATGGAAGAAATTGAGTTGCCAGTGAAATCTCTGCAAATAAATGATTGCTGCTGTCACCCCTCAGCAAAACCCTTTCCCCAGCAAATTTGGCTGCTGAGGTGGAAGCGGAGTTTGCTTGGAGATGCAGCAGCATGGTCAGCCTGGCTTCACCCCTTGGCGCTGCAGCACGAGCCCCCGAAACCAAGATGTCTCCTGCCAGTGACCCTCTCCCGCCTGTCCTGGGAGGGATTACCAGGAATAAAAAGCTGAGGAGGGGAAGATGGAGGGGGTCCGGTGGGGCGGACCACCACCAGTACTCACAAGATGGAGAGGGCCCAGCGGCGGGCGGCGGAGGGCACGCCGCCCAGGGCGGCATGGCTGCAGTCCAGCAGCCGCCGCCGGCAGCGGCAGGGGAACGGGCAAGACCCCCCGGGCCACCCTGGGTTGGGGGCCGCTGCCATCAGCAGCGCCAGGAGGAGAAGCGGGCGGCCAGGCCGGGGCAGGCCCATGGCGGAACAGGCCCGGCCGGGGGTCGCTGGGCAACGGGGCAGGGGGTGGCCGCAGGCCTGGGGCCGGGCGCAGGCCTCACCACTGCGGCCCCTCGCCTCACAGCTCGGAGTGGGATCTGGGGCTTCGGGCGTCTCTGCCATCAAGAGAATATATACTAGAATAGAATAGAATTACAGTCTCCGCCTGAGAACTTGCCCCGGTAGAGGATTTATCACATCCCGCGGGGAGCTGGTCCCTCCCTTCAGCATTGCCCCTTGTGAAATGCTGCAATTTGCTTCCCACTTGGATTTCTCTAAATTCAGCATCCAGCCACCAGATTTTGTTTCGCCTTCGCCTTTCCCATTAAAAAGCTCACCCAGTATCAGCTGTCTTCTAGAGCAAATCACCCTTTTCCTCTTTTTTCTGTTAAACAGGCCACACTTCTCTTGTTTCAAGAGCGATCTCAAACCATTCCTGTGGCTCTTCCCTGAGCTCTCCCAGTTTTCAATCACCCTTCTTCCCAAAGAGAGGTCAAAAAATCTGAGCAGGGGTTTGTTATCAAATAAGCATTCCCCGCCTCCCCACCACCCTCGTGATTTGGGGAGCTTGATGCCCCTTCCCATTGCTTGTGCTGCCTCCGAGGTTCATTCATCACACTGGGTTACAAAATTTTACTTAATTTAATGAAAAACTTGTTCAAAATTAGAAAGAATCTTTGCTTTACATAGTGATAATATCCCAACTACTTACAGTTGGGGCTCAACACATGTGGCTCATATGTCTCAATACATTATTAGAAGACTTAAGCTTATTTCTTTAAAAGAAATTTCACTTAGAGAAATACTTTTTTCTGTGCCTGTGCAGACATGTGTAAGTACCACAGCTACTCCTGCTGGTAATACATCTCCTTCTGCTGTCTCAAGTTTTCTCCTGCAGATCAGAGCGAACCTGAACTGTAGACTCTTGTAGGGAGGGCTATTCCTTTTCTTTTTCTATAAGTGCTATGCACATCTGTTATGCTGTCTAAATAATAATCATGTAGCTAAGCTGGCTTCCATATATAGCTGACCTGAATAAGTTGACAGGAAAATACTTCCTCTCCAAAACCAGCATATATTTTTGGGCTTAATTTTAGTAACACTAGGTTTATTGCCCATGTCTTTTGCTGTTACGTATTTGGAGAAACAGAAAACATTGGCTATGATGCACATGTCATTTCACAGTGTTAGACTTTCATTCCTAATCAAACACTGCAGAATTTTTGGAAACTATGTGAAGACAGAGCTGCACTAATCAGATGGCATCTCCCAGCTAGGGAGCTCATCATCAAAACTGAGATCAGACAAAACTTCTTCTTCTTTGAGGTCAAACTGTTCCAAGGACAATTCATTGACCTGGGAAAAGAAATCAAGAGTAAGCTTCTTTCTCCACAGCATATTTTAGCTTTATCCCTCTGCACCTGGAAACAATATATTTTTACCACATACAAGGGATGGCCTCCCTGGAATTTACCAACTCAGGAACATTTCCGTTTTGGAAAGACTGACCGATATCACAAGGCAATGAACCAGAAGGACACCCAGCAGCTCTCCTCTCAAGCAAGCCCTTCCGAATTCCTGTCTGTTCCTCTTCCTCTCAGGCTGGAAGGTGCCTTGCGGAGAGAGAGCGCTGAATAACCTCCCCCACACCATCACAAGGGAAGTGAGATGGCAGGGGAGGTAAGGGATGACTCTTCAGGGAAGAGAGGTTTGAGAAGCAGCAGGCTTTCTGTTTGACTTTGCTGCTCACTTCTCTTATGGTCATTACATGTTAGGTCAGCTCTCTGTGGGTTTAAAAGAGGTCAGATAGAAGGGGCTGTACAGAGGAAAATGCACAGAGAGAACAAACCAGCAAAAATTTCATCTTCTCAACTGATAAAAAAAATCTGATGGATGTTAGTTACTTCACACACCAAAATACTCCTATTTTACTGCTACTCTTCAGTAAGAAAGGAAGATAGTTCTGCCCGTGGACACTAGGTGACTCAGTGTCATCAAATGGAATAATGTGTCACAAGTTTGTTAGATACTTCCTCCACACAAACTGCAGGAGGAGTTAGATGCTGCACAACACAGTGCTGATGCATCATGTGAGAGTGATGCTTGCTTTCAAAAGACCACCGTATCAGTGATCTCCCCTGGTAAGTACCAGTGTTTTCAAATTAAGTGAGATGAAAATCTTTCTGCTCATGACTGGCTATGTGCAAAGGCTGTCATTCAGAACTCATCTCACTGAGCACGATGATTAAAGTTTTACTGTTGTACTGGAGTATTTTTGTTTGGTGCATGCTAACAGGTCCTACAATTACCTGCAGGGATTTCACCAAAGCTTTTAACAATCATTCCCTCTGGGTAAGCATAAGTTTATGAAGTGCATTTCTAGATAGGGAGTTTGATTTATTTAAGAACTTGTTAAAAAAATAATTTGATTTAACCTACTGTGACTTTAATGGGATTTTAACTCTCACAGGTTCTGTGAAGAGCAGTCCTGGACACTGTCATGCGTGAGACTTGTCAAGCTGCATTGTAACAGTCCTATACCCTAACTGCTCACTTTCCTGTGCCATCTAAAATATACATGGATTTCTGCACAAAGATGGCCAAAAAAGTAGGAGTTTTAAAACGTTAGTGTGCTGTACAATTCCAAGATGCAATTACTTCCTGGGATTTAAGTCAAGATAATTGCTGCATAAAAGGAGGATGCCAGAGGCTGTAACAGTTAACAGCTGTATCTCCAATCCCTAGATGTAACATACAGGTCCTGTGCAAAAGCTAAATATCCACTGCTTTTACCTGAACAAGCCCCTTCAGTTCCTCTTCTGTTAGGAAGTCTGTGGGCTTCTCTTGGGAGGAATTGTACTCCACGACCACTTTCCCATTCTCTGAAACAGTATAAACAGCCAGAGACACGGTTAGTTACTACTGTGTGTAATGACAATAAACCTATCCTAAACCCCAAATGGCACAGTTCTGCTTCATAATGGCTGGTTGGTCTGAATGAGCATGCTGCTTTCTCTGGCCCACCTGCCTGCCTCCTCTGCAGAAAACCACATGGCTCTTACTAAATGGAGTGGAAACTGAAATTGAGGAAGCAGAAATCTATGGAGAGGATGGAGCATGTTAGTTACCAGTCTCTGTGTATGTGATGGACCAGAGAACAGGAACCACTGCAAAATATCTGAACCCAGAAACCCACCTTTCAAAAGAACACCTTAAAGAACCCAAGGGAGGAATCTGGCAGATGAAAGGCCCCTCTCTGTAAAATGAGGATAGTGCCACTGACCTGATCCCATCAGGGTCTGTCCTCATAAGCATAAAAGACTAAAGTAGTCAGGTACTACCTAAACTAGTGTCACCTAAAAGCTCAGAGAGCACAAGACCTGGAACCCAGAGAAAGCAGATCTAGCAGTTCCTGGGTAGGCATAGAGCCAGCTTCTATGATTAAAAACTCAAAGGAGATAGTAGCCCCAAAGAAGCAACACTGAACGCAGCAGTGGGGCATGGACCTTTGATGGTACCTGGTTGGCTTGGAACCAGGACAGGAACGTGCTGGAAGCAGAACTTCCTCACGCCCCTATTCAGCATGCACAGGTAGTGTTAAAAAGCTCTCCCTGCCAGCATTTAAACTCTTGGAATTTGGAGTTTCAGTGACTTATTTATCATAAAAAATATCTGACCTCCTGTCAGATTTTCCTTTCACTCACATAGCTCATAGGGTGGAAACACTCTGTTAAACCATTACAGACTGCAACACAAGTTTAATTTTGCCCGAGACCCCCCCAAGCCTCAATGAATCCCAAGAAAGGTTCAGAGAAAAAGAATTCATATCAATTATCATGAAAGTTATAATACCATTAGGCCAAACACCCCAGTGATTAATACAAAAATAGGCCTTACCCAAGACTATGAGAAGTATCTTCTGAAAGGCACTAGACAAAGCTTTCCCGACTGCAAGTTTCTGAACTCTTCTTGTGGCTGTGACAAACTCAAGAGGATCTGAACACAACAAGCAGCATGTTATTAAGATGACACTCTGCATATGAAGCACACCAGCTGCATTGCACTAGGAAATGTAACCAAACACAGCTTTATGGATCTGATAAGAAAGCTGCTTATGTTTCGGGAGTTGTTGGCAGCATGGCAGCACCCTCACAGGGGCTTTGTGTGCCAACCCACAGCAGCACACGATCCTCAGGCCTGTGTCAGGACCCTGCCCAAGGCAGCGGGCAGTGCAGAGCCCCACTGGCACCCGAGCTGTGCCACAGACACAATCACATGGCATGTTCACACCAGAAGTGGCTGTGATAGGGAATGAATAATGCTGCAGGCAAGAGGGAGAACAGAGGGTAGGAAAGCGATACCAGTGTGAAGCAGAGAGGGAAGAGGCGTGCTCAGGATCCCTTGCTGCATAGCACAGCAGCTCACAAGGCCCTGCACAGATCCTTGCCTCCAGCTAAATTCAGATAGTTTAGCAGACACACAAACTGTGCAAAAGCAAGACTGACCAGTGTCTGTGACAGCTGCTAAGAGAGACTTCCAGCTGCACCCAAAACATACCTTCACCATTTTCTACATCTGCTTCACCAAGGGCAACTCCCCTGGTACATACCCCATGGTTGGGCAGCGTCACCTCTACAGCACACAAGTATTTCACAGATCGCTTCTGTAATGTCTTTCCCAGTTCCTCATTCTCACCATCAAAGCCAGATACATTCTGCAGCTGTTGGGAAGACCACAGATAATTAATTTTGATTAAATAGGAAGGGGATGTTATGACCACTTAGGCCTATGCCTGCAAACTGCAGACCTCCTCTGCGCAGCATGTGACTCCAAGGCAGAAGCACATGGTGGAGGCAGAGCCGGCATATTTACTGTTTTGACCCTATTTTAGAAATACCTCATAGTCCCTATCCTCTGGGAGTCTCAGTCATCTTGGACACTTTCAGCACACGAAGACTACTGTTAAGTCCTGGCACTGCTTTAATCACAGCCACCCCCAGTTGTAGAAACAGAAGCCCAGCCAATGCCCTCAGCCGTAGCAATCTTCTCTCTCTAAGCTTTCAAAATACCCCATATGTGGTCCGAAATGCAGCTTTTGTAGCTGTCTATTATTTGCTGATTTGAGGATAATTCTTCTCATTCCACCAACAGCTCTAACTGAGAATACTGGGTGGGAAGAGGATGAAGGGAAGGATGATGGATGAATATAAAGGGTCCCTTACTGTGATGATGCGACTGGACCAGCCGTTAAAGCCAAGGTAGTGGTTGGCCAGCTCCTGGCACTTGCTGCTGTTGAGAGCAAGGACTTGTTGCTGAAACCCTTTCTGCTTGGTGCAAACACAAACCTGTCCAGGAAAGAAGAACCCTGGTTAGCCAGGCTTTGCTCGCAAGGTTCCCACTGCAGACACACCATTGATGGCTCTGGGAGAGTCATCTGAAGGTAACCTATTCCCTGACTGCATGCGTGCTTCTGAGATGTATTAAGTATTTTTTACACAGAAACGGGCCCTGCAAATTATTCCAGAGGAGGGATGCTGCCATTTTACTGCTTAAATGCTACCTGGGAGCATGTCACCACAGTGGTAGTGCCCAGCCACAAGTTAGTAAACTTTCTACATGGAAAGCATCACTGAGATCAACAAGTATTTAATGGGATTCTACCCTGCTGCTGGAGGTCATGGTGCTGAGTTTCACACCCGGGGCCATTCTGCTTACCTTCAAGGGAGATTTCTGAAACAGCCTTTGCCCATTGCACATGCGCTGGGCTCTGCTGGCATCTCCAGCTGAATAAAACTTGATGATGGCGTAATACCCAGGCCCTGCCACAGCAGCATTTCTGCGTGCTCGCGCAGAGTAGAGCAGCCCAAATTTGGAAAATGCTGAAAACAGGGAATGCTGAGGAAAAACAAGAGAAAAAAGGGTCTTTTGAAATATCTATGGGTGCTCCAGGGGCGGAGCGACAGTGACAGAGAGAGGGCTACTCACAAGACCTAATTACCTAGAAAACGAGGAAAGTTTTTAGTACTGTTTAATGGCAACAAGCCCTGGAATAAGCAGTGAGGCTGAAGATGAGGGTCTCTCCATAAAAATAAGCTCAACCTGGCTGGACCTCTGACCCTGCCAACATCTCACCTCCATTATCATCCAGCCGCTGCATCAGGAGGAGAGTGAAGGCAGACGTGGGCTTTTCTGCCCCCCCCAGTCCTCCTCATCCCAGACTGATTCCTGCTCTCTGCCGTCCCGCTTCGTTTGCCAAAACGTTACCACAAAAGACTAACGGGGTTTTGTTCCCTCTTCCACCTTGCGCTGGCGTTTTTGTAGTTTTGCTGTGCAAACTACAAAACCGGCCGTGGCACCGGGGCAGAAATCACCCTGGGGTGGCCCGACACCCCCTCGGGGTTTCCCTGTGCCTCAGGGAGACAAGGAAACTAAAAAAATGATTAAAAAAGAAAGAAGAAGAAGAAAAAAAAAGGGGGGGGGTGATTTAAAAATATATTGTTAGCACACAGGTGAAGCCATCAGTACAGATGGGGGGGTCCCGGTCCCCACTCCTCAGCCCTGGGTGTGGGGATCCAGGGCCCCACTCCCCAGGCCCGGGGTGGGGGGGGATCCAGGGCCCCGCTCCCC